AACCAATATAATGATGATCTAAGTCAGGGGTCAGCAACCTGCGGCATGCGTGCCAAAGGTGGCACATGAGCCAATTTTTACTGGCACAGTGCTGTCAGTCAGGGTCCCGGCTGTCGGCCCCACTCAGCCTGCTGCCTGCCTGGGTGAACAGAACCCCAGGCCGGCAGCAGGCTGAGTGGGGCCGGCGGCCGGGACCCTGGCTGGCAGGAGCTAGAGGACAGAACCCCAGACCGGCAGTGGGTGAGCCGCTGCCAGTTTGGGGTTCTGTCCGCCACCCTGCTCAGCCTGCTGATGGTTTGGGGTTCCAGCCGCTGGCCCCTTGCCAGCCAGGGTCCCGGCCATCGGTCCCGCTCAGCCTGCTGCCGGCCTGGGATACCAGCCGCCGGCCCCACTCACTTCACTGCTGGTCTGGGGTTCCAGCCGCCCGGCCTCCTGCCAGCCAGGGTCCTGGCCACTGGCCCACTCAGCTCGCTGCCAGTCTGGAGTTCTGTCGGGGGGCCCCTAAAATGTAAAATTTATTACTGGCACACGAAACCTTAAATTAATGAAGACTTGGCACGCCTCTTCTCAAAGGTTGGCGACCCCTGATCTAAGTGATAAGCCAGGATGATCTAAGTGATAAGGGAAAGGCAAGCTCTCTGGTTGTTCCACCATTTAATGTACCTGGTTTGAGTTAGGATGGGTGGTTTATTGATTACAGCATGGGATTTGGAGTCAAGGCTCCTCCATTCTATTCCCAGTTCTGCCACTGACTCACTGTGTGACTTGTTCAGCTCAATTAAAACTGAGCTGTAGAATTGGTATAATAATACGTACCTCACAGGAATGTTGTGAGACTTAAACTAAAGTTTCTGAAATGTTTTGGAGAAGGTCCTTGGATGAAAGGCACACACACAAACTATTATTAGTGCTTCTAAATGGCAAGCACAGAAATGAACTGCAGTCATTTTAAGAATTAGAAGCTTTTCTCAAACTATTTCAGTGTATATAATTAATAGTTAGTTAGTTTGCCCTTCCGTCAAACCAATATAACGTCAGAGGGATGGCATTTTTTAACTGTTGTAGACTAGCCAAGGTCACATTCCATTGCAAACCGATTGTCTTCCAATGCATACCATTCCTTGGGATAGATAAATAATGAGTTAATGTTTACAGGCAATACTGCCAATAGAAAATCCCCTAAAAAAAAAATCTCATTCTAGTATTGATTTCACTGTATTTTATCCCACATGAACACTGAGGGAAAGAACAAGCAAATGCCAATTAGACTTTCATTTAGAGGTTTATCAAGCAGGATTACTAATATGGTTACTTTAATATAATTAGAAAGTGACAGGCCATCCTAGCAAACGGAGTTAATTTCACTTACACTGATACTACTTAGACCAAGGCTTAAAAATACGTTTAGTGCACAGGAGCACAAGATCTCTTGAAATTTATGCAAGACTCTGCACCTTGCTGTGATTGATTTCACAAAGAGCTTTCATTAATGTCTACTGGCTCGTTCATTTTTGAACCACAGTACAGCAATATTCAGCAAAGATGGTCCAAGATTACAGGCATCTTCGAGAACATATGCCCATAACACAACACCCTTCTCTCCTGAGCTGATCTTTAGTGTCTGCTGTAAAGTGGGCTGATCCTGCAAACAGTCCAACACTGTATATACAGCTAGATCAGCTTACACCTGGGATGAATTTGGCCCCTTGTGTTTTTTAAAGCCCTCTCAATGGAAAATGCTCATTATTGTCCCAATTTAGCAATGCACTAACATATGTCCCTAGCCCCATTCACTGGACTTAAACCTGTGCTTAAATTTATACATGTGCTTTGCTGAACTGGGGCCACACGTCCCTATTATGTATTCTAAGTAGCATGGTGCATCAAAAGAAACATGAGTTCACTCAGTCAATCATGGTCTTGCGTTCTTTCCCATAATGAAATAGTCATTTATTTTCATGTTTAAATCTTTTTTGTAGATTAGAAATAAAGCTCCTTTTCCCTCAGGAAAAAGATATTTCTTTTCAAGTTGGTTAATTGGCTTATTCAAATAGTGCTCCGAATGTGACTTCAGCCTTGCAGTGATCAGGAAGCAAATGTTCAGCAGTGTATTAAAAATACAAGTTGCAACTCGCGCACTCACTGTTACTGGTGGTATGTGCACGGTAGTTAACCTTTCCATGGCATCACTCCAGGAGGAAATATTTTGTATATCAGCCACTGTTCCATTCTCTGGGAATGTATCAAGTCCAGCACAGCAAGCTTTGAACCATTTATTTGTGTGCTGTACTCGAGGGCTGAATTATAGGTATATTAGTGCAACTGGTAACAATATTATGGCACCCCTCTTTTTCCCCATGTGCCCCAAGTCTAAAGATTGAAAGAAAAAGTCAACAATATATTTTCAAATCTCTAATTCCTGGCCTTGAGAGGCACCATATAATATAAGCTGGAGCATGGAACCCTATAATAAAATTCACTACTCTGAACATTCTTCTCTTGATTTTTCTTTACCTTTTCTCTTCCTTTTTCCTTCTGCTACTTTATTTTAGTGCATTCATCTTCTCTCCTCCCCCTAGTTGTCATTCTCTTCTCATTTACTACATCTTTGCCTCTTCCTATGTATCTCCCCCACTTTTTCTTCTCACCTATATATCTGCCTCCAGACCTACTAACACTTCATTTCCCCCACCATCTGTTTCCTTCTGTTTCTTTTCCTCCCTCCTTCCCTTGGTTACACCAACTCACTTCCTCCCTTCCGCCCCACCTGCATTCATCCAGCCTCCATTTGTAATGTTTGCAGCATCTTGTGCAGTGCACTGTGGGATGCAACATATCCCGGTATGCATGGTTGCAGGAGAATTCAGAATGAAGGATGCTGAGGGAGAGCGCCAGAGGGCTCCTGAAGAGCTGGTGTACCAGCATGTTGTTGTGGGAAGGATTTCAGGGCACCCTCTGTCTTGTGGAGGCATGGAGTCTACCTTGTTAACATACACTTAATCCTCTTGCCATTTCATCATTGTGGAGGGAGTGTAAAAAACCCAGTATCCTACCCCCTGCCTTTCATTTCAGACAGCTACAATCACAGGAAGAAGAATGTGTTAATTATGGCACTAACTCTATGGTTTATTTCAATGAAAACAAGGCAAAGGCAAAAAATGAGCACTCTTTCAACTGACATTTGGGAAGCAGTTTTGGAGCCAAGACTGCCTAACAGTGTACAGGTTTCAGAGTAACAGCCGTGTTAGTCTGTATTCACAAAAAGAAAAGGAGGACTTGTGGCACCTTAGAGTCTAACCAATTTATTTGAGCATAAGCTTTCGTGAGCTACAGCTCACTGTGGCACCTTAGAAACTAACCAATTTATTTGAGCATAAGCTTTCGTGAGCTACAGCTCACTTCATCCAATGCCACAAGTACTCCTTTTCTTTTAACAGTGTACAGCAGCTCAGTTGAGACAGGGATAGAATGTAGTGTGGCGTGAGCTGTCTCCCTGATACATATCACACAAGAACCTTCACAGTCACTGATTACAATGAATACATAGTTGACATTACTGGAGACAGTTCAGTTGAAGACAAAAAGTTACATGAACTCAACACTGCCTTTAACAATATGCCTGGTCCTTGAAAATGTAGTAAACTCTTAGAACTAAAACAAACAAACCCTGTGTGTATATCTGGGAAACTGTGGATCCTCCCTTTCTTTTGCCTGAGCTGGAGGAAGGACTGGGTAAATGCTTCTCCTGAAGCTCAAAATAGTTCAAGGTTTGAAAGAGCGTAAGATGTCTACAGGACCTGTACCTGTGTTTTTGGAAGTAGAATTGCAGAAGTGTAAAGCGTGCTTTTAATTAAGGTAATACATAAAGCTTCTGAGCCAACTTCCGCTCTGGTGCCAGTGAACATAGCTTTATTTAATTCTGCCAAGTTATGCCAGGGTTGAATTTGACCTGCTGTGTAAGGGTGGCACAACTGAGCTCTAGTTAATTAAGGTCAAAATAGTGCTTGATTCCTTACTCGAAACTCCCAAGGGCAGCACAATCTGTCTCTGCACTCCTCCTAGTGCAGGGACTGCTTTGTCCTACCACCTCCAGGAGAGCAACCCACCTCCAGCTCCAGGAAAGGGTGGGAGAGTCCCCTCCCTGTTTGCACCAGCCAGCAGAACCAGCTGCAGAGTGTGGAGCAGACTATATCTGTCTGATGGAGGGTGCAGTGTTCTTGTTTCCTTTGTGCACCTGGGACAACCAGGGACCCATTGTGGGCCAGTGCCTTTTAGGTACAAACTGGTCATGACATTTAAATACAGCACATTGTGCTAGAGGTCAGGCTACCTTTAAAAACCATGTACTTAATAGGTGATATGTCACCAGCTACAAGTGTCTGTAGATCAGAGAACATAAAATTAGTTGTGCATGTTTCTACAGCTGTTAAAATACTTTACTAGGGAAAAGAGAAAATTATATCTATCAAATGTCAATGAAGGCGACCTTCAAATGTTACAAATATAAGATAGTCGTAGCCACTTGCAAACCACCATAATTCCTTGGCTTATTCCATTTATTATTCTGTTTAGTCTTGTGCTCTTGTTTAACACACCTAAATTTGAGTCAAATCTTGAGGTCCTCCTTACTCCATGTTTACTCAGTCATTACTTAGGCAAATGTGACCTTGAAGTCTGAAAGTTTTGCTTTGGTAAAGAATGAGTAAAAAGTGAGTAAGGGTTTGCACATTTGGCTCGTGGTACCCAAGTGTACTGTATTGCCTTAAATACGTGGAGCTGGGCAGCAACATCCAAATAGCTGGGACATCTAAGCTCGGATACAGCATGTTAGTAAGATCAATCAGAGTAACTTGCGGGATATGTTACTCTGATCAGTACTGGCATATAGAAAATTTGAAGTACATTGAGTCAGGAGGAGAAATAAGATTTCATGCCATGAAAATTGGAATGTAGTGTGTGTTTTGAGAACACATTGCACGTGAGCGTTCCGCTTGCCTTACCGCTTGCTGAATAGCTTTCTCCAAACCCTTTTGTTTGAAACACAAGACATCTTATGCCTCCTATGTGGATTTTTTTGGTCTGATCTTGAGTCAGTTCATTTCCAGGTGAGCATCCAATTTTCTTTTCGGTTGTTTTTGCCTCTTCCTTGTCTTTAAAAAAAAAAGGGAGGGGGAGAAAATGTTATTAATACAGCATCTGAGAAAGATCAACAAAAAACTTCTGGAAAGTACTAATACCCTTGTGAACGTGCCAATAGATAGCAGCAGTACATATCCTGACCATTATAGGCTTAAATACATCATCTGTCTCAGTTCTGCAAACTAAAACAACAATATCAATCTTAGCCTCAAGGCACTAATTCAGAAAGCCCCTGTGCCGTAGTACATGATGACACACATGAGTGTTTCCTTAGAAACAAAAGCAAACAGGTTTTCTTTTTTCCCTGGCTGGACAATATCCATCCCCAACATGCCTGTGAGCAACACTCACCATTAGATAAATTATGTGATCCTTGTGTTTACTTGGAGGTGACTTGCTCCGTGACAGTTGTTAAGTCTCGGAGGAGCAGCCGTGTTAGTCTGTATCAGCAAAAAGAACGAGGAGGACTTGTGGCACCTTAGAGACTAACAAATTTATTTGAGCATAAGCTTTTGTGGGCTAAAACCCACTTCATCGGATGCATGCAGTGGAAAATACAGTAGGAAGATACATATATATATATTCACAGAGAACATGAAACAATGGGTGTTGCCATACACACTATAATGAGAGTGATCAATTAAGGTGAGCTATTATCAGGGCCGGCTCCAGGCACCAGCATTCCAAGCAGGTGCTTGGGGCAGCGCTGTGAAAGGGACGGTGAAAGGGACGGCAGTCTGTGTGCCTTCAGGGTGGTGTCTTGTCTTTCCGCGGCAGCGGCAATTCAGTGGCAGCTTTACCCTGTAGACTGTGCCACGGCGGCAATTCGATTGCAGCTTCTGTCTTCAGATGTCCTGCTTGGGGCGGCAAAAACAGTAGAGCCGGCCCTGGCTATTATCAGCAGGAGAAAAAAACCTTTTGCAGTGATAATCAGGTAAAAAGAATGAGGAGTACTTGTGGCACCTTAGAGACTAACAAATTTATTTGAGCATAAGCTTTCGCGGGCTAGAACCCACTTCATTAGATGCATGGAGTGGAAAATACACTACAAAAACCTTTTCCAATTCCAATATGTCTTTTTTAGATGATGTAGCACAGAGGTGATACTAGAAACTTTTGTAAAACACAAACACTGTGATTTAGACTAGAGATGAGTGAACCAATTCAGTTAAAGTAAGAATGTAAAGCTTTGTCCATTCCTTCAAATAGAAGCTTTTAAAAGTTAAATCAGTGTTTGATCTAACTTTTCTGAGTTGGTTCCTAAGCAGCTCAGTAAAGCTATGGCACCTACGTGCCACTGTGATGGGTACTTTAAGACCCAAATATGGTAATGAGCACATACAAAAAAATGTGTACACCCTTTTGCACATACCTAGCAGAGGTGCACATGTGTTTCAATCCATGCTGGAAAATCAGGGTTGCCCATAGGGAGAGCCCTCTCGCTTGGGGACTTTCTCCTTTGGGAGAGGCATTGCATGCTTAGCATGTGATTAAGGAATGAAGTTCTCTGTACAGGCACAAAGCATCGCCTGAAAGCGGAATCTTGCTCTTGTAGCCTGTTGTTCCTCCTATTTCCCAAGGCAAACCAATGAAGTGTGAGAGGGAGGAAGAAGGAATCAGACAGTCAAGGAAGAAAAGTCCTTTCTGGTTTTTGTTTTTTGGGGACCAAAATGGGCTGAACTGACAGCGAGCCCTCTTGCAGCCCATCATGATCATCCTTCCAGCTCTCCAGTAGGCTCCAGTCAGTATCTCCTGTGTGAAAGAGGTGCCAATGCTCATACTGAATTACTCAAAACAAAGTGTATTCTGTACTTTCAAACTGATCCACTGCTCCACTGCTCTAATGGAGCTATGCTGAGTTACGCCAGCCAGGATCTAGCCTGCAGTGTAGAGGCAAGGGTTAGCATGTTCTTTGGAAATGCATCATGAACCTAATTCCTTGTGTGCCATTTTAGGTGCTCATAGATTATGCTGTTTACTAGAGGTGCAAGTAGCTCCCACAGTAGTCTCTGGGGGGAAAATGCAAGGCTCTAGGACAGCATTCTGAATATTTAGGCTGGGATTTTCAAAGGAGACTAAGAGAGCAAAGCACCCAGATCCCATTAGAATGGAACAGAAGTGTAACTCCCTTAGACTCCTTTGACAATCCCAGCCTTAGACAGCATTGTCATACTTTCTATTTAGAGCAAAGCAAAGTTTTATTTCCAAAATGTCTCAGCACCCAAAGAAGCCGACTTCTTGCTATTTGCCCTACAAGACTCTAGCACCGTGAGGAGTGTCAGCATGACATACCTACCCAAGCCACCCCAGTTTAAGCCCTGTCCTCCACTGAGTATTTTGTAGAAATCTGACTTGCTGTGTAAAGTAGTCTGTCCCGCAGTTCCTTTTATTGCTGAGGACAGGACTTAGTGTATCAGTAATTCTTCAAAGAGCAGGGTAAGCAGTGTATGTTCAGCAACTACTCTTGAGTAGTTAATGTTTTTCTTTTAATCTGTCTCATGAGTGCTTATCACTGAAAGAAGAGATTACCACATGTAGCATGACGGGAAACTGCTTGGCACACACATTTAAAAGAATTAACAAAATAAACAGCGCCAAAGCAAAATTACCTTATAAAATGGCATATTGTGTCCTTTGAACTGGTTTCAGCTGGTGCCAAGAGCATCCAAAAATGAGTAAATGGGGAAATGTCTCTTTGGCGTAACTTTCCTTCATGTCAGTCTTGGCCTTTTATAGTAATGACAAAGTACCAGCCATGACTGACTCTTTACCTGTCTTTCTAGTTTGTGATTCATGCCTGGCTAGTCTTATAGTGGAGCTGTTGTTGCTTCTGTCTATAATACATCATAAACCATGCTAATCATGATATCGATGTGCCATCTCTTTCACCCTGTCCTCCCTATCTTTGGAGAGGGTTGTGGTGTTTATGGTTTCAGTAGAGAGGCCCTGCACCCAAGTACCCCTAGCTTTAGGAACATATGGATTTACCTCAAGTTCATTTCTAATAGAATTTTTTTTTAAATTAATTACTTCACTGCCCCCCTCCCCCCTGCTTGTGTTCTTCTTTTAAGGGTATGTCTGATTTTAATAAAGTGTATGCAATAGCTGTACACAATTTTATATCTGGAAAGCTTTCACCCACTTTAAAAAAAAACAGCTACATTTCAATTGTTGACACTTTTCTTGTCTTGACAGTGACTGCACCATATAATCCAGTGCTGCCAATCAGATCTGAACAAAAGAAATAGCAGTTGTCTGACTGTGAATCATTTCTTCACCTTGATTAATGTAAGTATTGAGTTTGTACAAATAATCCTGACAATTTGAGACATGCCCAACTTTCTTTTGCAACAAGTACTAAATGTTTTCCATCCAATACTAGGACACAACCCCTTTGGGCAATGTCATTTATTTTAACACTCTGTTTTTGGGAGTGAGTGTCATAGAGTACAGTACCTCTAAACAGAGCTAGTCAACGTCTGCAAAAAAATAAGTATTATCTGCAGATGAAACCTAAACCAAAATCCATGGAAATCAATGGAAAGGTTCCAGTGGAGTCTGGATCTGGCCCATATTCCTTAGAATTTTAAATGAGTTCTCCTTTTTCCTGTGATTGCAGCCCTTTTGTATTCATTTTCTGGAAATATTCTCATGAATGCATTTACGGGAAGAAATGTTCAATGGAACAAAGGACGTTTAAGCAAGCACTGCAGCATATTTGTGGAAAGCAAATTCTGAATTTGCAGTTATGTGTATTTGCACCAGAAACCTGATGCTAGGAGTTGTGTTTATCCAATTAGGGGACAGAAACATGTTGTGTATCCAATGTCCAATCAAAACAGCTCAAGTGTTTCATTCTATACTGCTTGGAAACAATCTACTGTGTAAAAGTTTGTCACTTCAACTGACAAATTCACAAACAGAAGAAGAAGCAATAAAGTAAATTATTCATTACAAATTACTTGTCCAGCTCTGATTCCATGTCATTGGTTCAAATCTGTCACAAGCTGGTATTAGTTACTGAAACACACTGTCATGTGATAGCACCTAATTTGTTTACATACGAGTTCATGGCTTCACTCCATTTCCTAGTAGACAGGCATTGTCAGAAAACTATGAGCATTAGCCCTAATTGGCTAATTAGCCTCAGCTTCCTGGCCAGGGACTGAATCAGCATGGAGTTCCTCCTCAGTCTTAGGGCTTGTCTACACTACCATGCGGGGTCGATCTAAGATATGCATCTTCAGCTACATGAATAGTGTAGCTGAAGTTGACGTGCCTAGATCTACTTACTGCGGTGTCTTCACTGCAGTAAGTCGACAGCTGATGCTCTCCCATTGACTCCGCTTGCGCTCCTCGTTCTGGTGGACTACCGGAATCAGCGGGAGAGCGCTCAGCAGTCAATTTATCATGTCGATACTAGACGCAATAAATCAACCCCTGCTGGATCGATCGCTGCCCGCTGATCCAGCGGGTAATGTAGACAAGCCTTTAGAGGTGTCATTTCCTCTAGGCTGAGATGTATTGACAAGGACACATGGGGATTGCTCAGCTGAATCTATGGGTAGTCTACACTTGGAGTTGGGGTGTGATTCCCAGCTCAAGGAGACATTCCCCTGCTAGCTCTGATCAAGCTAAAAATAGAGTATAGCTGCAGTAACATGAGAGGCAGAACAGGCTAGCCACCCCGAGCATTCCCCTGTGGTGTTGGTGGGTATGTACTTGGGGCGGCTAGCTCCTTCAACTCCGTATGATGCCATGGCTACAATCTGTGACCTAGAGTGAGTATGTGTCCTCAAGCAGGGGATCTCATCCCTAGTTCCAAGTTTAGACATAACCTAGGACAGGACTTCAATTTTGCAGGTCAAATGGACTAGTATCTCTCAGCAACATTACATTTTTATAAGCAGACAACACGTAGACAATCAAATTTGACAATTCTGGCCTCAAGTTAGGCACCTACATCTATAATGTCAAATTTAATTGAACACCCCGGTTCTCATTGGCGCTAAGCAGCCACAGTTCTCACTATCCTCAGTGGGAGTGGTGAGTGCTCAGCAGCTCTGGAAATAAAGTCACTTATTGAGGTGTCTAACTGTGAATAGAACTAAATTTTGGCACCTATATTTGAGGGGAGGGATAGCTCAGTGGTCTGAACATTGACCTGCTAAACCTAGGGTTGTGAGTTCAATCCTTGAGGGGGCCACTTAGGGATCCAGAACAAAAATTGGGGATTAGTCCTGCTTTGAGCAGGGGGTTGGAGTAGATGACCTCATGAGGTCCTTCCGATTCTGTGTGAACATTTTGGCAAATTTGGCTAAAGATTCTAATTGACGTGTAGCTGAGATCAGAATCTGGCCCAATGTGTATATGAGAATATGCCTGGGTTTTATACATGATAAGAATGTTGAAAGGTTGGTAAGGGTTCAGAAAAGAGCTACAAGAGTGATTTGGGGACTAGAAAATCTGCCTTACAGTGAGAGACTTAAAGAGCATACTCTATTTAGATTATTGGAAAGAGTTTTAAGTAATAACCTGATCATCACCTATAAATTACACACAGAAAAGATATCTGGTAGTAGAAGACTCTGTAATCTGACAAAATCCAATGGCTGCAAGATGAAGCTACCCAAACTCAAACTAAAAATAAGGTGCAGATTTCTAACAGTGAGAGTAATTAACCATGAGAACAACTTCCCAAGGGAGATGTGGTGGATTTGTGAAATCTTTAAATCTAGATTAGGTGTCTTTCTAAGAAATATGATCTAGTTCAACCAGACATTAGTCCTTGATGCAGGACTAACTGGGTGACATTCTATGGCTTGGGCTATGTAGGAGGTCAGGTTTGATAGTCACTGATCCCTTTTACAGTGTTGCCAACTTCTGCAATTCTAGCCCAACTCTCACAATAATTGATGTTTAACATAAAGTGTCAGTTCCTGGGGACAATGGGTTACATGAACATCTCTGCTTTCATTTAAAAAAAGAACTTTCTACTGTTTATGGCTATGGAGAGAAGCTTGAAAATGTGACTTATGGGTGAAATTTTTCAGACAAAACATTTTTCCAACAAATAATGCAAATTTGGGTCTACCGAAACATTTCACAAATGTGTGTTGACTTCACCGAATTGTTTCGGTTGAAACCCCTTCCCCCCAAACAATGGAAACATTTTGTTTTGACATTTTTGAAACAAAACGTTTTGAGTGTTTGATTCAAAATGACTTTTCAAATTTTACTTCAGTTTCATTTTAATAAAAAGGTTAAAAAAAACCCCTCAAAACCGAAAAGGTTAGTTTCAGGTTGAATGAAACATGTTGTTCAACCCAACGTGAATTTTTTTCAAGTTTTTCGGTTAGCTGACCAAACCAGAAGAATCAGTTACTCACAAAGTTCTACTCAAGTGCTCTCCAAAGGTTCAGAAACCAGAAGGCAAATAGAACCAACAAAGTATTATTTTTAACCCAGTCTCATGATTTATAACACAGTCTAATGAGTTTTAGGGCCTGACTCATGATATTTCATTGTCTTGTGTTATCAATGATGCCTTAAGGGCTTTGAAATCTCTGAGTCGCTACAACAGAGCCTCACTAATTTGCACTGACAAGTGGGAAACCCATAGCAAACTAAGGACTAAATTAACAAATAATTTTCAACAACAGTGCATCACAAAATGGTCTCTGATCATTTAGCTGAACAACTAAAGCTCAGTTTTAATTGTTTAAATGCTGTTGTATATTTTGTAATAGTGAAGCCTTAGTAATATGAGGCCGGCCTCACAACATTACACTTCTAGTAAATCTTTGCTGAGAAATTGGAAGAGACTGCCAGGATTTTGTGCAAATTATAAATCATGCACGTTAGTGACTTGTGAATTAGTGTGGTTTTACTGTAACTGTCTTTATAGGTTTCTAGCTCTTTTTTAATCTGTGGCCCTGTTAGCCATGGTTTTCAGCAAACTGTGTCTTTTTAAATTTCCCAGGCTAATGCATCATGCTTAATTACATCAGTCACCTCCTGTATTCCTATAACTGAGTTTAACTCATTCTAGCAATGACTTGTCACCTTAGCAAATTCAGAAAGACCTGATTTATTGCATAGAGCCTGTTAAATACAACTAGGATGGTAAACCTTCAGATTATTTTAAAATATTTCTCTGTATTTGATGATTTATAAATCCCATGTAACCCATTTTCTTTCAACAATAAATGACAAGTGGAAAGCCCCTCCTCAGCTCTCTTCCCAGGACCCTGACAGTCTGGGAAAATTTTCCCTTTAGGCCACTTGCCTATTTAAAGTGTAAAGTCTGATTGATTTTACAAGAGAGGAAGAAAGAGTGAGGGTGTCATTGTGTTTCAGAACCTTTATCAGGAGTTTGGGCAGCCCCGTCATGGGTAATTTGCTTGTTAGCTTGATGAGAGACCTCACGGGTGTTACGGAGAAGAAGCTATATGGGATATATGGAGTATTTGAAGATACACATCCATGATACTTGTGTGTGTGTGTGTGTGTGTGTGTGTGTGTGTGTGTGTGTGTGTGTGTGTTGGAGAAAGATGACATAAGTACATAATATAATTGTTTGACTAATGATTTGCTAATGCCATTTCAGGGAAAAAGAAATGGAGGATTTAGTCCCCCTCTACACCTATCCACATTTCTGTTCTGAGGTAGAAGAATCAGTATTGTTAATAGAGTATCAGCTAGGGACCTCAACTGAGATCCGAGACCATTGAACTGGTGTTATAAACAGACACAGGAAATAAAGTTCTTGCCACAAAGTTCTTACTGTCTAAATCAGAGATATAGACAAAGGAAATGTCCGTACCTCCATTTTACAGGTGGGGAAATGAGGCACGGGGAAATTATGTGCCTTGTCCAAGGTCCCACAGGATGTCAGTGACAGAGCTGAGAATTAACCCAGATCTCCAGAGTACCAATTCAGTGCTTATGATGAGTTCACATTATGGTATCAGCTAGAGCGTTAGGGCCAGAACTCAGCTTGTGTAAATCTGTGTAGCGCCCTTAAAGTCAGTATATTTACTCCAGCTGAGAATCTGGTTCATAGTATGTATACGCTGTGATACTAAGTATTCCTTTCTGTGGGCCTTATCCTCTACCATTAAAGTCATTGGGAGTTTTAGTATTGGCTTGTGTGGGAGCAGGATTGAGGCAGACTTTTTATCCATCAAATAAAATGGAGACTATCTTAAAAAATCAGTAATAAAGTGGAGAGTTATTATACTCAAATGCATGTACATTATGCCCATCGCCTCAATATTGGAATACTGGAAAGAAGAAGCAGAATCAAAACCTTGTTATTCAAACAAAATATATTTTCTTTTTAGCTTGTTTTATTGCGGTTCAAAAGAAGGAAACACCTGATTTTGGGGCAGGGTGGTGAAGGTCAATGTGGAAGCTTCCTGGTTCTCTTACCAATAAGCAGAAAAGCAGGGAGATGCAAAGCGGTTCATGGGAGTAGAACATAACCATGGAACTGGGATCTCAAACAGAGGGCAGATGACTGACAGGAGACCTCGCAAGGTGGATGTCTTCCTGGGAGGGTTTGTGTGGAGTGTCAGTGTTTGAAGGATTTCAGTGTAATACCTATATATGCAGAACAGAAGTCAATGAGATAAGTAAAGAGGCCCAAAGTGTGTCTTGAAGGCAGTATTTAAAATGTCCTTTAAAAGGGTTGTCCTTGTACATGTGGTTTATAAAACAGCATGATAGATTATCCTTCCCCAATAGAAAAAATGAAAGCTATTTAACACAGTTTTCTGGTTAGTCTGCATGAAGATAGTACAGCTGCTTCTACAACTATGATACGCATGGCTGTAATATAACACATACAGTACTTCAGGAAAAATTGCCTGCCTTAGGAATAGCTAGAAAGTTTGTCTTATAATAGTAACACTTCCCTGTCAATATAAGTAGATTTCTTTGTGTGTTTGTTTAGCACATGTGAAAAAATTGATTTCACAGTGGGTTTTTTCCCCTTGAAAAAAACACCTCTCTTTCATAGTGAAAATTTACTTTAGATTTAAGATTCAGGTACCAGACTTTCAAACTATATTGTAATAAAAAGATGAAAAATATTTTCCTTCTCTCTGTTTCTTTCTTTTTACACTAGTAAGAAAGGCACCCTTCCACTTGTTCTCTAGGCACCTCTGATACATTACAACAAAATCATTTAAAATCCAACATAATCTTCATATCATATAGCCAAAATCCCCCCCACAGATTGATAAATCAAAAATACCCCACCCTTTTTATAGCTCTTGCCACGCTCCCCCCTCCAGAAATGATGAAAACCTTGTATGGACTTTGCAACATTCCCAAAAGGTCAACAGATTTAGTTTATTTTGGACCCAGGTGGATGGAAAATGAATTCCAAAGTTGAATATGGATAATATTTTGTGGAAGTTTCTGTCACAGACATACAGTCTTTGAGTGTTTTGGCTGGGAAAGGGGTTAGTGGAGAAGTTCCTTCCAGGCCACCGAAAAAAGGGGGTGAGCATTAGAGTGCTGTTCAGGCATATCAGAACAGGAAAGGGTTAAAGTTTAACACTAAATTAAATTCTTATTAAATCCTAGGGCGTTGTGGGTGGCTCAGGTGACTTTCAGAGTCTGCCCAAATGCTCCATATCCAAATCTGTCAAAATGAAACGGCGTATTCAGTTCAGCAGAGACAGGATTACCATGTTCCCCAATGCGAGGGCATTGCCCAAACTTCATCGCCCTTGCTGCACAAAGAGGAGAAGGCTAGCTGCTCCCTCTTAAATGACCCAATGGAACCGTACTCACCTGGAGACAAGTGGCTCCATTAGTATCCTTCCACCCCTTCAGTAGGGAGGCATCCTTCACTAAACTTTGTTTGGATGTTATAAAAAGTTCAATCTAGGGCAAAGTTCTGGCTTGTTGTTTTAACTGAGCCACTTCACCCACCCCTAAGAGATGGAAGATTAACTTGGAACCTGAGTCACTCGCATTGAAATAGGTACACTGCAAAAGCGAAAGGTGCTTGTTTATTTTACAATACATTTATTTCCTATATTAGAGTAATATTTTAGACCACAAACTGACGGCCCATACAGTTAGCTAGTTACATGGTGCTGGTTCATCATCTGTATTCTCAACTACTCAATTGCAAGAAAAGACAGTGAATACTATATTGAATACTTTTGGAATATTGCTTTTCCAAGTAAGCATTGCTTGAGTTGCAGCAGGGATATCAAGTGCTTGTGAATGGGAGGGGAGGCGATCCAGGCAATCATAAACAGGAAGGGAGGTGTTCGGGTTGGCAGGGGTGGTGTGCACAAGACAAACACGCTATTAAAATGTGGTCCATTCAGTGAAAAAGTTGGAGAATCCCTTTGTTAGATTATATGTTGGATGCCAGTTTAATTGTGAACAGCGAATTGTATCAAGTTATGTTCAGTTGCTATAAACAAATATAGATGAAGTGATCTGGTACGTGAGAGCAGATGATAGATCCTTCACCCATTGTTCACCTGTTGGCTAAGATATAAAGCAAGTGTATAATGACTGTTCTGTTTTTTCCTCAGTAACAGTTAGCTCAAGATTTTCCAAAGTGACTAGCAATTTTGGCTGCTTCAATTTTCAAGTGCCCAGCTTGAGACTGTCATGCTCTGTGGGAAATAGAACCCAGGCTGCGGGATGGTCAACACCTCCACGCTGCCACCCAGAAGCCATGATATGGGTGTATGCATCATCACATAGACCTTGGAGATAAACATCACCTTGGAAGGCTGGACTGACAGCTTCCCTTGTGGCCCCTGATTGGCCCAGGAATCCCAAGAAAAGTTCCAGGAAGTGTTTGTGCAACTAGATGAACTCCTCAGACAGTTGTAGTGATGGACCTATCTCTCAGCTTGCTCCTGACTCCAACTTGGAATCTGGCTTCTGCCCTTGAAACCTGACTCAGATCCTGACCCTCAGTTTCGCTACTTGAACTCTACCTCTCACTTTGTCCACTGGCTTCAGTGCTTGGACTCTGGCCCCATTTTTTGACCCCTGGTTTTGGTGCTTGGACTCAGACGCCAGCCTTGACCCCTGGCTTCAGTGCTTGAACCCTGACCTAGGCTTTTGGATTTGGACACCAGCCCTGACCGCTAAGCCAGACCGCCCAAGCCTTTGTCATGATAGCGACTCTAAAGGGATCTGTTTTGCAGAAAGTGCCGAGCACCTGCCCTCAAAAAACAGACTCTTTTAAAATGTGTCAGATTGTGTATCCAAAAACAGAGGCACCCAAAGTCCTACGGCTACCTGGGTCTCCCATATCCCAAGCGACAGCTCTAACCCCAGGACTAGAGAGTCAGTCTCGCTCTCTCTCTCTCTCTCTCTGGGCTAGTGAACAGTTAATTACTTATACAAAGTGGAACAGCTCCAGCTGGGGAGCTTGAGAGAGAAAAAAGTTTTGTTGAAAAATTTTCAACCAGCTCTGTAAAATTGCCAGTGTGGAAAATCTTGGTCATCCTCTTTAAAAATGAATCTTCAGGTGAAAGACATTGTCAGGAATGGGGCCTTCAGCTGTGCCAATCTTCAGGCAACCTACCACATGCAGCAGGCCTGTAGTACACCACCTGATTTGTTGGAAGAGTCAGCAGACCAGCTCTTAAGCCCAGCAGCAGCAGCCGTTCAGCGGCTGCTCAGAGCATTCACCCATGGCCGCAATAGCTCCTGAGCCTGCTTGTTCCAGGCCAGCCCTGCTCCTGCCTTGCTCCAGCCTTGCCTCACTTCAGGTAACCCAGTTGTGACCCCCAGCTCTGATTCCTGATTTCAGCTCCGACCCTGGGCGCCTATTTGGCTCCAACCACTAGGCATGACCGCCCACATCTCAGTTTCTGATAGTTTGAGCAGAACAAAACACCAACAATCAGGGAACTAAAGCTGATACAGTGAGCATGTATTCTACAAAGCCCAATCTCTCTCTGACGGAGATAGTGGGAACTCTACAGATGTTGCAGGCGCAGGTTCCCACCCTCCAGGTGCAGAATGCCGTCCTGCAAGCTCAAGCCACACCACCTTCAGCTCCAACTCTGGCTCAACCATGAACCGAAGCTGCTCCTGCCTGACACATTTGATGACAATCACACCAAATTTTGTAGGTTCCTAAATCAGTATTGGCTCCTATTTCTGCTATGCCTGCAGTCGTACCCAGCTGGCCAAACCCAAATGGCATTGATTATCAGTTTACTTACCAGGAAGGCCGTGTCTTGGGCATCTCTGCTCCTGGAAAAATCAATATCACTTCTGGGACAATTTGAGGACTTTGTTCTTTCCCTGCTGAGAGGGGCAGCAGGGAAAGGAGCAGAACACCAGCAGCTCCTTCAGTGGCTGTACCGCCCCCTGTCCCGCCCCCCTCCCCCCAGCCCTGTCTTCTGGCAGGGCTGCAGCTGGGAGCCAGAGGAGACCCTGCCTGGAAGGGCTGGAGGTGGTACAGCTGCACCAGAGGAGCTGCCGGTGTGGGGCCAACCTGTGGCCCCAAATTCTGCTGCTCCTTTTTCCAGTGCGCTGTACCAGCTTGTGATGGGGCACACTTGCCCCACACTGGATGGAAAAGAGTTAATCCTACATTGTGGGCTGAGGAAGCCACACACCCTCCACTCTACTGGGCATGCTCCAGGTGTACCAGTATAAAAAGGAGAAGCTCAGCTCAGTTGGGGCTGACTGCCGTGGAGGAAGGACGTACGCTGCCCGCTCCAGCCAAGTCTCAGCGGAAGCCTGTGACCTTAGGAGATGCCGCAGTCCAGGCGGATGCCAAGGCAACCCCGGAGGCCTCGCAGAGTTCGGAGGAAGGGCAGACCAGAGAAACTAGAGATAACAGGGAGGCCCAGACCACAGCCGCAGGGACGATGGCAGGAAGCAGCCCTGGGGAATCCGATGAGTGAGCCGAAGCCTTGAGTCAGCATGTTTCGGAAGGAGCCTTTCCCTGCTGACTCAGTGGTCTGCGCTATGGCCACTACCAGGGCCCTGGGCTGAGGTCTGGTGGAGAGGGAGGGCCTGGATTCCCCTGCTGGGGGGCACAACCCCTTCCCGTGTCTGACATTGGCCGCTAGACCTTACTGCCCTACAAGCAGGTTCTAAATTATTGACTTGGGCCACTAGGCCTTACTACCCTGCGACAAGGAGCAGATTTCCTGACTCTGGCCATTGGGCATTACTGGTCTGCAAGGAGGGACTAGATTATTGACTTGGGCCTCTAGGCCTTACTATCTTCCGAGAAGGGGCATATTTCCTGACTCGGGACATTAGGCCTTACTTCTCTACGAAAACGGGCAGATTGATGGGCACTGGCCCCTAGGCCATACTGCCCTGCTGATAAGGGTGAGCGTATGGACTCGGGTTGGAAGGGATGTAGACTTAAGAGATCTATGCCCCACCCCTTTAAAGAGGCGGGCACACTCACCCCACACAGAACGGGGTTTCCCCCCAACCCTGTCACACACCTATAAATATCTTGCTAGTATGGCATACCGGACCACCCTACTTGTGCTGCTAGTTGTCCTTGGCATCCCCTGACTAGTTGCCAATGATCTGGGCATGTGTTGGCAGTCAGGCATGGTACGCTTTGACTCCCCATTTTGCTCACAGTCCTGTTTTCTGAGAGACAACTCAGTACCAGCGATGCTTTGTGGCTTACTCAGTCCTCCAAAGAATTCAGAGACATGAAGAGAGGATCCAAAGGTAACTCCAGCAACACCCATTGCTTCCTCAATTGCTCCAGGGATTCCTGTTAAATATCAACATTATGCTGACGTGTTCAACAAAAAGAAAGTCGACGCCTGTTGCAGCTATGACTACCCAATTGACCTGCAACCAGGAGCAGAGACTCCCTTCAGGTGCATTTATTCCCTCTCCAAACCCAAACTACAGGCCCTCCAGAGTTATCTCAAGGTAAACCTGTAGAAGGGCTTCATTTGCCCCTCCACGTCCCCAGTGGGGACCCCCAATCTTCTTCGTGGCAAAAAAAGATGTCTCTCTCTGGCTTTGTATGGACTACCAAACTCTGAACAAGATTACAATCCAAAACTGGTACCAAAACCAAAACCTTACTGCTTATTAGTGAACTATTCGAAAGATTCAGGTCTGTCAAGGTCTTCACAAAGTTGGACTTCCACAGCACTTACATCCTTGTGAGGATCTGGGAGGGAGATGAATGGAAGACCACCTTCTGTACCAAGTATGGCCTCAAAAAATTTGAGTATTCGGTCATGCTGTTTGGGTTGTACAATGTCCTGGTGACCTTTCAGCATTTCATAAATGACATAGGTACACACTGGACCAGTTTGTCATAATTTACCTGGATGGCCGCCTCACTTTTTCCAAAAGTCAGGCCCTCCACAATCATCACGCCCACACTGTCTTGGAGAGACAAAATCACCTTGAGAAATGCTAGTTTGATAAAGACAGTGGAATTCTTGGGATATATCATCATACCTGAGGAATTTACCATGAACCTGTGCAAGGTGGTGGCAATATCTGACTGAGCCATATCCAAGGATGTACACAGGGTGCAATGATTCCTAGGGTTCAGCAGTTGCCACAGGTGGTTTATTAAAGGATTCTCTAGTCTGGTTGCACCCATAATGGCAGTCCTGCAAACTAATGGGCAAACAGAGAGTCAATCAACTCTTGGAGCAGTTTCTTTGCTGTTTCTGAGTTACCACCAGGATAACTGGCTCCCCCTGCTGTGCTATGCTGAATTCGCATAAACAATGCAATCCATGCCTCAGCCCAACATAGCCCATTCTTTACAAGCTATGGCTTTCACCCCTCTGCTTCCACCCAGACTTATCTGCAAGTTCCCCAGTATTGGCTGCCATGGATTTAACCTTCCACCTACACCAGGAGCATCA